GCGCGCTCATCCAGAAGGGTGAGATCGGTGAGGTCGTCCGTGTCGTGGCTGATACGAGCTTCGGTGATGATGTTGAGACGAAATGGGGTACCACACACCGTATGGTGAACCCTGATTTGGCCGGTGGTGCTCTCTTGGATTGTAAGGTTTTCTAGGCTTAAGAGAAAGAAAACATTGACTGATTGCTCTTCTAGTGGGTATCTACTCTCTGACCTGGGTCTTCCAGACTCTGTACCACACCCTACCTCGAGACCAGAGGAAGCCACCCACTGTGCTCTCGCAGATGACTCCTTACCACCTCACTGGTGCAGACGAGTGTACAACCATGATTCTAAGCTTCCCGACAAGTACACCCTCGAATGGCCCGCACCCACAGCAATCGCACGGTATAGCCATGACCAACATTCGCGTCTCTGCTGATCCCGACGAGAAGGGCTCAGCTGGTCCTACCATCCGTATTCAGGGCACTAAAGGTGAGATTCAGGTGTTTGGCCCGCCTTTCCGGCCAGAGAGCTACCGTATCATTCCCAAGAAGGGTGCTGGTGAGATCCGTGAGGTTCAGTGCCCGTTCCCTGGTAATGGTAAGGGTATGTACTGGGAGGCTGATGAGGTTGCTCGTTGTCTCCGCGATGGCAAGCTCGAGAGTGAAGGCATGCCGTTGGAAGAGAGTATCGTGATTATGGAGGTCATGGATGAGGTGCGAAAGCAGGGTGGTTTGACCTATCCTCAGAAGATTGAGTCGACTGAGTATCCCCTACAACTTTAGATATGAGTTCCATGGCAAGTTTAAACAATACTAGTATGAGGCAAATACACACATCTCCGCATGTGTTGCCTTGTTGGAAGGAATTAGACTACAGACTATAAGATTTACCAAATACATATCCAATTGAATGCGTACCGGTCTTGTGTATTCGGTACTCAAAAAGTACTCACAAAAAGTACACACATACTACTATACATGGCGGTCAACGGGATAAACCCACGTCTATATGTGGACGAGAACACCAGCCATACTTCGGGTATGCCCAAAGAAAAACATAGGAAAAAAAGGTAGGCATCACGGAGCCTGGACCGGTAAATTGTCCCAAATCACCTCCCAAATCCCCCTTTTTAAATGTAATCAATCCAACAAAATCGCTTACTGGCGGAAGACTCCAAGAATGCTCTTCCAGACCTGGCCAGGCTCCTGGCTAGCATCAATGCCGCGCCAGATACCGGTCTTCTTGTAGTACTCGACAACGGGGGTGGTCTGGGCGTGGTAGGTAGACAGACGCTTGGTGAGGGTCTCGGCATTATCATCGGAACGCTGGATCAACGGCTCGCCGGAGATGTCGTCCTTCATGTCATCCTTGGGCGGGTTGAAGATCTTGTGGTACGAGCGGCCAGAGGCAGGGTGGACCAAACGGCCGGTGATACGAGCCACCAGCAGGGAGTCGTCAATCTGCAACTCAATGGCGTGTTGGAGCTTCTGATCACGGGCGGTGAGCATGCCGTCGAGACGCTCGGCCTGCGCAACCGTCCGGGGGAAACCATCCAGAATGAAACTGTTCATCTCTCGTGTTAATTCTAACCGGGCCTTGGAAGAAAATGAATTTGGGAGGGAAATGGAAGTGTACGCACCCGTTCTTGCACTCGGAGTTGTTGTCCAGCTCGCTCTTGATCATGTTAATCATGATCTCGTCGCTGACAAGACCACCCTGGTCCATGATCTTCTTGGCTTCCCTTCCAAGATCGGTCTTCTTCGCGACCTGGGATCGCAGCATGTCTCCGGTGGCCTATTCAGGAAATGTATCAGCGGGAAGAGCTCATGCTGTACTCATGCAAACTTTCTACTCACCAGGTGGCACGCGCAGAACTTTTCCTTAAGTTTCGGGGCTTGAGTACCCTTGCCTGGTTGAAACTGTTAATATCCATCGGTTTTTTTTTCTATTCTTTTTCCAGTTATAGTTCAATCGCATACCTGCACCGGGAGGACCCATCAGGATGATGCGCATCTGTTCGGCGACAGACTTGGGCTTGCCGCCATTGGCGAGACGGTTCTCAAGCTCGGACACCTTTGCCTCCAGCTGGTGGATAGTGTTTTTCAGGCCGGAAAGGGCATCTTCAGTGATGGGAGCCATTGTGAATTGTAAGAGGGGAGAGTTTTGATGAAGAGAAAAGCTGTAGACGGGGAAACGGAGAAATGGGGAAAGGGAAGATTCGCGAGGAACTTAGCTCCCGAGGTTCGGAGAGCACGGGCTTCACGAGGGAATGGGGGAATGGGGGAAAATGGCCTGAAGACCTTTTGTAGAGGCGATGTGTAGGTTAGATGCTGATACAATTGACGTTTAGTATCTATCTATATTCTCTATATTCTCTGTCTTCTCTGTCTACTCTATCTTTTCTATATTCTATACATATACATTCTATACACCTCCATAGTCCAAGTTTCTTCAGTTAACCGGGCAAAGTGCAAGGTGGCCGCTTACTAAGTCCTCCAGCCTCAAGATGGCGCAGCTCTGTGGCGGAGAGCTCTCAAGAGCACCTGTGCATCATCGCTCTCCATCCACCGCATTCTCCTGTCTCGCGTTGATTTGCTGCTTCATTGGATTTTATTTGATCTACGACCTTTAATCATCCTTTACCCCTCTCGATTCCTTTTCACCTCTTCTCCCTTTGACGATGCCTGCCACCACGGCGGACACGCTATCCCTTGTCAACCGCTCCGTGACGGTTGCCCCGTTAGTCCTCCTCTCCGTCGCAGATCACTATGGGAGAACGGCAAAGGGTACCAAGAAACGTGTTGTAGGCGTGCTGCTGGGTGAGAACTCGGGCGATAATGTCCGGGTATCAAACAGTTTTGCTGGTAAGTGCAAGCTTCGATGAATTAAACTCATACAAGAGATGAGCTGACATCTGTTCTATCTCTCTAGTCCCGTTCGAGGAAGATGAAAAAGACCCATCGGTGTGGTTTTTAGATCACAACTTCGTGGAGTCGATGAGGGATATGTTCAAGAAAATCAATGCTCGCGAGAAGCTAGTCGGCTGGTACCACTCGGGTCCCAAGCTGCGCGCTTCGGATTTGGAGATCAATGAGCTCTTCAAGAAATACACGCCCAACCCCTTGCTGGTTATTGTCGATGTACAACCAAAGGAAGTTGGTGTACCTACAGATGCTTATTTCGCTGTGGATGAAATCAAAGATGTGAGTTTGCATTGAATCCGAGGAAGCGTCCATCAGGCCATCAGCGCTAACCAGGGCTTTTTTTTCTTACTTGCAGGATGGAACAACAACTTCCCGGACATTTGTGCACACCCCGTCGATAATCGAGGCAGAAGAAGCAGAGGAGATTGGCGTGGAACACCTCCTCCGAGACATCAGGGACGTTGCAGTCGGCACACTTTCCACCCGTATCACGTCGCAGCTGCAGTCGCTGCAAGGATTGCATCTGCGGCTACGCGATATCGGTCAATACCTCCAAAAAGTTCTCGACAAGGAACTTCCCGTCAACCACGCCATTCTGGGCAACCTCCAGGATGTTTTCAACCTCCTTCCCAATCTGTCCACCCCACCGGCAACGCAGCGGACCAGCGGCCAGGAGCCGCAGATCGAGAATAGCGAGTTGGCACGGGCCATGAGTGTCAAGACTAATGACCAGTTGATGGCTATCTACATCAGCAGCTTGATCCGTGCTATCACGGCTTTCCACGACTTAATCGATAACAAGATCCAGAACCGACAGCAGCAAGAGGAGAGTGACACCAAGCGGGACCAGGAGGCCAATGGAACTAAGGGAGACAAGGATGCTAAGAAGGCCGGCACACCAAACGCCGAGCAGAAGGAGGAGCAGGATAGTTCCGACAAGAACAAGAAGAAGAACTAGGGGACTTTTCTTAATTTATTCTCTTCCGGAAAGGATTATCAATCCAATCAGTTAAACATACCACATTTAAACCGGGTTTCTTGTATCTCATGTACATTGGATAGTCAAGGCCAAGATCCTATGTTTAGATCTGTCCAATTTGCACAGCGAACAACAACTATCTCGTAAAGTAATAACACTGCCATTGGTGTATCTATCATACAATCATCCCGCAATCTTAAGAGCTCCGGGACAAGTCTCCATTCGGGGCCAGCCGACTTCCCATGCGTTCAACGATTGACTGTTCGGACACGGGCAGATGGTTCATGTGGAATGGACAAGGACTTGTTGTCATATGCAGATACCTAGGATGGGTTTCATAAGGTCGCTTAGCAGCTTGCCGCAGGGTCAAGGACAAACACAAGTGCGTAAAATTCATCGTACATCCATTTGCGTTGACGTGTCAAGAGCCAAGCAAATCAACCACCCCAACCAGCACACCAGCCTGCCAGTTCCTCCTTGGAAACGGCGAGCCTGTCATCCCCATCAACCCCGAACAGCTCAGGGCACCGTGTATATAGAATACAGGCTAGAATATGTTTGCAGGTAGGAGGCGACACCCGAGCCGTACCACGAGCTAAGGTTCCGCCAAATGAGTAGGCCAACTGGTTCTGTTTGTTTGTCGAATCATGCAGGAGTGGAGGGTCTCGGTATGCAGACAGGGTAAATGTAGGACAGCTGCAATTCCAGGCACGCAGCCTAACCTCATAGCCCTTTTCTTGGGAGGGGATTGAGGAGCCGGGAAGTGAAGGCGGAATTGACGTAGATATTACGATGAAAATGTCCTCTTGGATTTGGGATGTGGAAGATCGATCTGAGCGTACAATCCGACGTACTAGTTTGCGATCGAGGATATCAAGAGCAGGGAGGAAGTCATTTGGAAACAGACAGTGCAATGTTAACATCAGTGGTTTTATAGTCTTAGACAGTGCTGGCTGTGACAATTCAGCGATTAAATGATCAATGAAGATGTGAGGAGAATTGGAATCCATTTGTGGTAGAAAGAGGGAAGAAACCTGAAACTTGAAACTGAAAACCGAAGAAAAAACTAAACTCCGAGATATTGAACTTCTGAACTTCTGAACTTCTCAACTTCTACTTCTTCTTTCCCTTCGCCTTCGCCTTTCCCTTCGCCGCTGTCTTGGTCGCTGTCTTGGTCGCTGTCTTGGCCTTTCCCTTCTCTTCATCTCCCTTCGCTGAGTCCTTCACCTTTGGCTTGGCCTTTCCCTTCTCCTTCTCCTTCTCCTTCTCCGTCTCCGTCTCCGTCTCTTCATCTCCCTTCGCTGTGCCCTTCAACCTTTTTATCACCTTGGTAATTGCCGACTCTCCTGCCTTATCGGCTTCCTTGCCCACCTTCCTCTTGAGTCGATTGTAGTGTAGACCTTGAACTTCAAGATCTAAGATCTTTTCCCCATTCCCCTGATCTTCAGTCAAAGTTACCTGAAGTCTTCCTCGTTGCTTCTGCCAATTGACCATATCCTTGTCGCAACCAGGGCAAATAGCAGATTTGTTCGCTTCTTTGGCTGTTATGTTCGCTCCTTCGGCTGTTTTGTTCGCTCCTTCGGTTGTTCTTCTCTTCTCCTCCCATTCCTTCGCCCATTCCTTCGCCCATTGATCCCACTCCTTATGCCTCGCATCCGCTGAGCGGGCTATATAGGTATCGACAACCTGGGGAATGATCACCTCCAGTAACTTCTCCAATGTCCTGGGATCAACTCCCCAGGCACTGGCGCCTGACTCAGGGACAGAGTTCTCAGGGACAGAGCTCCCAAAGACAGAGTTCCCAAAGATAGAATTCCCAAAGATAGAATTCCCAAACACAGACTTCTCAAAGGCAGGGTTCTCAAAGACAGGGTTCTCAGGGATCTTAACGACAGTGTTCTCAGGGACCGGGGGTAATCCTGGGCCAGGATCAACATTCTCAAACACATCATCGTCCGAGCATAAACCGGAGTCGGTCTGAATGGCCTCGTCATCTGGGATTATCTCTGCCTCGTCTTCCGTGGGTAACCGGCGGTATGTAAAGAGATAACAGGTAGCGGGATAGTCCAGGCTGCTCTCGGGTCCTTCGGGGTCCCAGTCATAGACCTGAGTGTCATTCGCCATAGACCATTGACCTCCTTTACTTTTAACAGCGATCATGTAATGACCTGATTGTACATGCTGGCCAAAATGCAAGACCATCGAGGTCAGTTTATACCGGACGACTTTTCGTTCGTTGCCCCAGCATTCATCCATGAACCGTGTCTCGATATTTAGCTGCTCGGTCAGATATACGTGGGTTTGGATCTTTTGGCCAAAATCATTGGCGCGGTTGAGCTGGATCACGAGAAGCTCAGGAAAACGTCCAATTCGGTCGGTGGATGTCTTCTTGCCTCCACAGTCCTGACATGTACCGAGATCGTCCACATTTTCAAAGTATTGTTTGACTACATCGCCCAAAGTAGGCCTGGCGGGGAGTGTGTTGTGCTCTGAAAATGGGAGCAGCATGACCGGTTGCTGTCTCGGGGTGCACCTTGGGGCACAGGGGTTTTCCCCAGCACATTCTATCCTCTGGATGATTCCGACCTCGAACATATCTTCGAAGTCTCCTTTCCTGGAGTCTCAAGTCAGTCTTCTGCGTGTAGAGGGAATATGGAGAGAATAACATACATCATAGGCCTGATGCCCTTTTTGATGGCTTTGTATACTTTATGAAAGTACTCTGCTGGGTCTTGTTCCGAATTCTCGCCGTTTGGTTTCCACTTAAGCAAGATCGTCCTTGCTAGATATCTAAAGGTATAGATCCAATTTCCAGTTTCATTTGCCCAATAACCTTGGAAGACCTCGGCAAGTTCGCAAACTTGGCATCTGCGGAAATCTTCACCCATCTTGCAAACGTAACCCCTGGGGGCATGGTGGTTCATATACCAGATGAGCCAATTGTGAAGAATCGGCATATGCAGAAGCATTTGGAAGACGACATTTCGATAGCAGTCAACCCGGGCATTGGGCAAGCCCACGGTGGTCTTATTGGGCAAGGCTGGATGCCAATGTTTGGGGATGACGGTCTATCTCTCTTGTTAGACTTGTTGATGTAGAGGTTGGCTACACTCACTCTCATTTTCTCTTCGTCTGATCTTCCCCTTTGCGCTGTTGAGGCTTCGACTTCCTCCTCTTCCTCTTCCTCTAGGACTTTCTTTGGGACTTGTTTAGTTTTGGCCATGATAGAATATGAAATAAATCGGATATGTGAAGCTGTTGCTCACCTGAGGGGGTCGCAGTCTAATTTATCTCGCATTGCAACTGATTTTCATTGTTCTCATCTCCAAAGAAAATGTGGCATCGATTGGGAATTCTTTGAATGCATGATGGAACCAATGAATCAGGGATATGGTGATCAAAGAAAGGCAAGAACTCTACTGAACTCTCGAGACATTCATTCAACTTTCATTCAAACCCCATACCGCTTTCACTTGATTATTTTGTTCCTTCACAGACTTTGAGCTGTTCCATTTACCAGATCCCAAGTCAACTTATATCAAAACAAAGAAACCATCTATAAATAGCGGGCTGTTCACACACATACAACATATTCAAAGAGAACGAGATGAAAATAAGAACTGCATCCCTGAAATCAGCTTCCCAGGATATCTCGGTGAACTTCCCAGTCAGATCCCAGGGCACAATGGGACCATAAACGGGCTGGAATCAGCCAATTTCCTTGCTGGCCGTGTTCCCCCGGTTTTTGCAGAAGAATGTTCGAGACCGATAATCTTAAGTCTACTACAACATATGGAGCAAGTGTAGGAGAAATACTCCGTGCAAATGAACCGCGTTCCACCTAAAGTGTCTAGTGTCTAGAAGGGACTTGACCACACAGCAGCTGTTTCAGATGTGGAGCCAAATGAAATAGAAATCTCCAGGCTGATGATTGGCCATGGAATATCAAGAGGTCCGGCCGAAAGCTATACCGTGCTCCTTCTCTTGTCGGGATCTTCTCTGTGTCTCTCTGTACTTTGTGTTAGTATACGTACATATTTGAGATACATCCACTTTCGGAACAAATATGGCCTCCCCCGATGATCCATAGCAAAATAGTGTACTCCGTAGGGAGTGTTGACAGCAGGGTTCCTCCCCATCTACCGAAGATCCACCGTTGAGCGCACTGCCCCAATTCGAACGGTTGGGCGCCACTGGAGCTGAAGCAGATGATCCTACGGATCTAAGTGGAACAGTTAATTCTCCGTTCACAGTGCATATGTGGCTAGTGGTAGGTACATACATAGTGAGATATAAGAGAAACCCACTCGCATCCATCTGAAATGATACCAATGGCAAAATAATGAGCTTCGAATCAAAAACGACCAAAAAAACCGGGTCCAACGGGTGCGTGTCGGATATTTAGGGTGATCGCGACAATAAATAGAAAAGAGAAACACTCCGCGCAGCGCCACCAGCTCTTCGCTACCACTTAAGTCATAGTCATGATGATCCGACATTTGCCCCTCCTTGAAACTCCACCCCGTTCATTCTTCATGGTTGGCTGAACCTGCCCCCTCAACTGTACATACGGTGTGTGTGCGCCGTTAGAGTAGGGCGACATCCTGTATCATCACACTCGTGGCTTCTTCCCTCCCGCGTCTGACTGTTAACATATCTTTTGTCTCCCCCCAGGCCCTCGAAGCACGGCCTGAATTCCTTTTACTTTTATACCTCTCCCCATTATACCGGTCATTCCCCTCGGATATAATCCAGACATTGGTCTACGGATAGCCCCCCGTTGCTCCAAGCGGATCATAAGGTCGATGAAGCCGTAGCTACCGAACGGGTCATGTCTGTGCTGGCTCCGAACGAAGCCAAGGGAGGCAACGATCGCCTTGCGAACGTTGTACATGATCCACTTACACGTTCGACTTTCTGTTTTTCTTTTTTTCTTTTTTTTTTTTTTGCCTTTGCCTTTTTGTTGCCTGATGGGTTGGAAAGTTGACAGACAGGATTCGAGGCCCGGGAGTACAAAGTACGAACAGGAAGAGGGATAGCTTGCTGATCCTCGGTGCATTGACTGAACGGAGGTTTCAGGAAGACTGATCGTCGGAGTGAAGAAAGGGGAGTATCATGTAGGGAAGTCCGTGGTAATGGATAGAATAATGGAAGTATAGATATACTCATAGATAGAGTGTATGATATAGTTAGAGTACTATATTGTCTACTCCGTGGAATAAGACTTCCCCAAGCCGATGCCCGGTTTCTGGGTCCAGAGGCATCACGTGCACTAGAATTGCATTGTACGGGAAATTGGCTGTCAAAAAGGTGGAAATTGTGGAAATTGTGGAAATTGAATTCGACCCACCAGTCCCTTAATCTTGGAAATGCGTGAACGCGTGCCCCGTCGTTCAAGAGCCAGTTCTAAGACCTTAGCCTGAGGGAAAGCAAATTACCTTACCAATCTTAAATCTATGAGATGTATAGAACCAGATTCGAGACCTCAGGTCCTGGATTCATTAAAGAAAAAGAAAAAAAATATATATATATTTCCTCATAGAATGTTCCATTCGGCTTCGAAGCCCACCACCTTTATATATCTCTCTCTCTTTAATAAGGTACTTATACCAGAAGGAATAAACACATGGACACCCGAGAGTCGGGAACGCCCCACAAACAAGAGCAAGGGGGGAAGAACCTTGGAAGTGAATAATCACAGAAAATTCCCCGACTGGTTCCAAGGGTGACATATCCTGGTCAATCCCCCAAGGAATTCAAGATATTCCCAAAAAGCCGTTAAAGATCTGGAACTTTTAGTTGCAACGGGCTGGACTCTGGACCGGAGAAGACCGTTCTCATTTAACCAAAGGGTGATGCGGGTCCCCGGGCTTGATTTATGGATTTAATGGAATTGGGATTATTTATTATATATTTATTATATAATTTAATGTTTTTTTTAATGTTTTTTTAATGTTTCTGGATTAATTTTGACTTTTTTAAGTTTGAAATAAAAACACAAACCCAAAGGAGTGGCCCCATTGGGATTACCTTGAATTAATTAATCGGCTTTAGCCATCATTTAATCGGGTACTTATGGTAAGGACTCTGGTACATACCGTTTGATCCCAGAGAACGTTGCCCCTCATTCCTTCTCTGGGTTAGTATGAAACTCTGCAGGTCATATCAAACATTGCCCGTCTATATACTTTGGAGTCGATAGCTCTCGAGAGTCGCCCTATTTATATCCATTCCAGTGATATCGCAAGCCTGAAGACTTGAACCGACCAGGACGGATGATCTAAAAATCCAGACCAGCATGACGAAGATCACCCAGAGTAGACCAGGGGAACTGACCGCATCTTTAATTAAAACCAGTGGATATTGAAGTATTTTTTACTCTGTAACAGCCGTTACCCTTAATAGTCCACCCCCCAACGGTCTAAGACTCTTCTTCTCCTCCCTTCGCTTCAAGATAGGTTTAGATCAGCTGTCACTTCTGCATTCGTTTCACCTTCTAGTTGAATGCTTCATATCGTCCTTTTCCTTCTTCTCCCTTTTCTGTACGAATTCTACAATCCTTGAATTCTTCAATTTCCATACTTCCTTCCCCTCACTTCTATTCTCTGATATCCTGGAGAATTCATCCAATTCAATTCGAGAAAAAAAGAAAGAACACCTTGGAGAACGTTGGATCGTTCTGTCATATTTTGGGAAAGACTTGGGTTCACGAGCACCTTCCCTCTTTTTCCTTCTTCTCCCCTTCCCCCTCTAGTCGGGGATCTCCCTGCTGCTTTGTTCTCTGTTCTATTCACCGGTGCTCATCCGCGCATATGATTGCGTTACAAAATCGGCCTATATTGCCTCCTGTCAAAGTGGATATCTCACTGCTACTCAAGCCCCAAGATGAGGAAGAAGCCGCCCCCGGCCTGAACACTGGGTACCCGCCCAGAACGATAGGGCCACCACTGGGTCTGGGTCCCATGATGACTATGCCAGGCCCGGCTGCCATGGCGATGCCACCCTTGACCAAGTCCGGTCCATCGGGTGCTGCCAAGCGCCTGCAGCCCTCGCATACGTCCGAATCTCCAGCCAAGAAGCAGTCCAAATGGTCGCCAGATGAGGACGCCTTGATCATCGAACTGCGTGGCAGTGGCATGAAGTGGGAGGATATCAGCAAACGACTCCCCGGCCGCAGTGCCATCAGTTGCCGTCTTCATTATCAGAACTACTTGGAACGCCGCAGTGAATGGGATGAAGATAAGAAGAACAAACTAGCCCGTTTATACGAGAGGTAGGTTTGGGATAGAGATGACAAGAAACCAAATTCACTAATCTCACACTCGTCTGGCAGGTTCAAAGCCGAAATGTGGTCCAAGGTAGCGGAGGAAATGGCTATCCCATGGCGTGCAGCAGAGGCCATGCACTGGCAGCTGGGAGAGCAGGAGATGGCTCGACGCGCAGGCGTGGTGCCATTCTCTCTCTCCAGTGCTGCCATCGATCCCCCAACCACTAGAACCCGCCGTGCCAGCACCTCTCTATCCCGGCCGAGAAAGGGATCTTCCTCACGCGCAATCCCAGGCCATCTGCCAGGACTTCCACCTCAACTTCCCTCCCTGGAAGAGCTCACTGCAGGCGTCCCTGCATACGCACCGGCTCCACCTCCCCCGAGAGAGTTCTATGGAATTGGACGACCACCAGAGATGGGGATTCCCCCACCAAATTTCATGGGCCATCACCTTGGCATGCCCCCTCGGACCATGCCTTAGGATGAGATGACGACGACGATGACGCCCTATACGTCTTTCCTTGAGTTTCTCCTGCCTTTTTTTTCTTTTCTTTTGTGATTTTTCTGTTACGAATTGCATAGCGCCGGTTGGAGGTATATCGTGATTTGTGGGGATAGTGAATCGTATAGATGATTTCTACCCCTCGGTGTTTGTTGCGTTCTTTTCCTTTTGTTTGCAGAAATTTTGGCGGGGCCAGCAAGTGCGAATTGATGTGCCATGACTCCGAGGCTGGCTCTCGGAACGCATATCACATTTTCATACGTCATGAGCCGTTTTGGGGGTTGCGATCGCCCACCAGTTATCTTTCTCGTACCCGGATTCTAGCACACGACCGCCAGCATTGCCGATGTCGCGCTCCAGCTCGCCTTCCGCGTACAGGTGGTAGTAGCGATGGAAAGTCTGGGGTTGATCACCTTTACGAACCCAGGGAACCATTCGATCTTGCTCGTCGCCCTTGTCCCAACCTCTACGGCTATTCTTTTGCTCGAGGGCCCAGGCGTAGATCAGGACTTTCCCGCCCTCCTGCGTCTCTGAACCATGCTTCACAGTTCGCATGATCTCGGCGACAGCCTGGACTCGCCGAGCCGGAGTGGAAAGATGGTGCACCACCGCGATTGAAATCGCAAAGTCAAAGCTAGCATCCCGGTGTGGAAGGTCAAGGATATCGGCCACCACGGTCGAATGCGGCTGATGTTGCAGGGCAATCCGAGCCAGGTTCTCAGATCTGCCACCGGGTTAGCCCAGATCAAGTTAAAGGGATCCAATGGACAAGTGGAATGATATCCTAGGGAAATGAAGTAGTCTATAGAAAATCCAATTCATATCAGAACATACCTATCTGAGGCAATGATGAAAACGTCTCGATTGACCATCAAGTTTTTGCCATTACCACACCCTACATCTAAACCCACTGCACCTGGTTCTAGGCGTGTGAGGAATCGCTCGACTATAGGCCATGGCTAGAATTGTGATTAGTTAGAACTTTCTAAGGTGGCGGTAGCCAGTCGCTTAAAACACACCTTGTAGCGGGTGGCAGAGAAATGCTGAGCGATCTCTTGGTACACCTCATGGACATTTTGCTGCTCATACGCTTCGCCTGTTTGTTGGGACGCCATGCTGCTCTCGTCGTGAATAAGGTGGGAGCTGTTGCAGAGTTGAAAAGTCAAGCGAGAATGGATATCACGTGGCTCGCGATTTGTAACGGGCATAATATCTACATCATATTCGCGATGTTGAATTTTTATAAGTTTCCAAAAAGCATAAAGTACCAAGCTTGAATCATGTCAAGTTTGGCTGTCTTGACTATTTTTTAATTGGAAAATGACCAATTGTTGTAGAGTTGTATAATAAGGGTCAGCCGTGAAGTATGAACGCTGTATGAGAATGCAAGCTACTATGGCATAGTATAGGATATATTGCACAATATGGTAGATTAATAGCCTATATTTGATAGGCCTGGCTTCCATGATAGGGTTAGACTTGACTTGTTCTATGGAAATGACTAGATATGTATTCCTAACACGCGGTAGTCTGCGTAGTAATTTGTATTCCCCAGTATCTCAATGCCAGTACTACTTAGACACACATATTATTCAGATATATCGTAAGTAGTTAACCTTCAACAGCTACAAAGCTGTGGCTTGTTTTTATATCAATTTCTTACAGAAGGTTGACTTACTTTGACATCACTTTGACATCCCGTTTAGGCAATTGTTTATCTACATAACCTGCACAAATAGGCGGCTCTTAGTTTCATCTTGTCCTCTTTACTTCTCACATATCATTTGCCAATTCCATTCTCAACTGCGTGTAGCGTCAAGCGGTGCCTGTTCCTGGCGGAGACCGCTTACTAATAATCGCTTCTTCGAGATTGGGCGATATTCCTTTTCCTGTCAACCACAGGGGAGCACAAGATCAACTGTAAGTACTACCTACCCCGTTCAAGGACTGTCCTTTTCGTCTAGAATATGTTGTGTTCCTTCCAACGGCCACAAAGTTGCCCTGGCAAGTATCGGCAGCTTCTTATGCCCCTCAGGGGAATTTGATATCAGCAATTCAGCATGCAATAGTATGCATAGTCTTCCTTGTTTATTTTTTGTTACTCTTAAAGATTACAGGATCTTGAATCTAGTTGTCTGATTTCGATTATTTTTTTCTTTGAATGCCTCACACCCTACCATCAAAGAACTTGCATTGATCCACGGCCCACTCTAACATTTCTTCCTAGAAACACGAACAGACAAGTCAAGTCATACAAAGAAAATATGGCATTCCAGCCTACCCCGATGGATATCTCCGTCATCATCACCAACGCGGCTCTAGCCAAGCCCGGAAATTCGGAGCCTCGATTCCTGACTGAACGCCGCATCACCCCAACTTGGACGGTGATGCAGGTTAAGACCAAGTTAGAGACTATGACGGGAATCCCACCAGGATGCCAGCGCCTGCGGGTGAAAGTTCCCGGTCGACCTGACCAATGGGCCGATGGGGACGACCGCCTGATTGGAGATTGGGGGTTGGTCAAGGGGTCGGAGATCGAGGTGGGTTCTCTTTTCTTTCTATGTCTTGCTGTTCATTTGACCCTGTTCTGGTTGCTTTACCGGGCCCAAAACGGCATGTCCTTTGATCCGAGTTGTCAGGGCAATGGATATGCTACGAATTCTGAACATATTCTGATTTATCTCCTCACTAGGTCAATGACAGCCGCCCGCAAACCATGCGGGCTAACTTCGCCGACTTATCATCAGTCGAGAAATATGTGCTGCCAACTGAGACATACGAGGCCCGTTCGGACTCTGTGTTGGCTTGGAAGAAGAACCAGAAGCTGGGCCGGTTTGACCCTAACGCTCTATCGCCCGAAGAGGCTTTGCGACATCAAGTTGAGAAAGACCGGACCGAGGTTCAAACGAGAGGTTCGTTGAAACAAAACATTTCAAGTGTCAATGCAATTTCTTTTTCTTTTTCTTTCGTTAATCTAATAATATATTGGCAGGAATCACTGTTGCTAGACGAGCTATCGTTCTGCCTTCATCTCCGCCGCATATTCGACGTGGCACGATCCGCTTCATTGGACCTGTTCCGACTATTCCTATTACCGGCCCGGTTCGCGAGCTGCAACAGGATGCAAAGCTTCCGGCAGATCTCCAGCCCATCTGGGTCGGGATTGAGCTTGACGAGCCGATGGGGAAGAACGACGGTAGTGTGGGCGGACAGCGCTACTTCGAGTGCTTAGGCAACAGGGGCGTCTTCGTGAAGCCCGAGAAGGTCGAGGTTGGAGAATTCCCCCCGTTGGGTCTAGATGACGACCTAGATGACCTAATGGAGGAGATTTAGTACACTGAGTATGTGTACTTTGAACGAATACATTTCGATAGTTTCGAATACATGAGGTTCTGATTCCCAGCTTCCCTCGGTTGCTCTTCCATCACCAATTATCACCAATAGATATTGCATAATTAACTGGAGAAACAGGCGGAAAAAACGCCAAATTCCCTGGTAATCGTATGAAAACAAATCGCTGAAGAACGAATAACAATAAAAGACATTTAGATGCCCACAAAATGAGACTTGGGGGCATTGACGTAGAAGAAAGGTATCATGGCGCGTTGTCAATGCCTACAAACATGAAAACAGGAGTGGAGGGCAGAGCAAATGGAGAGATCATTTGCCAATCTTCTTCTGCTTGCCCTTGGGGCGACCCTTGGCTTTCTTCGCAGGGACATGAACAGGAGCGGTGGGAGTGTCGGCTTCAAATTCGCTCTCAGGGCCGACATCCTGGGACATTTGCGGTGTTTCGTCCTCGTTCTCGTTCTCATTCTCATCGGGGACACAGCCTTGCGTGAAGAAAAGTCGAGCCTCTTTTTGGTGGGTGTTTGCAAAGCTATAATAGTTACCTGGAGATGGGATCATGGTGTCAATTAATTGATACGAATCAAGAAGCCATGAACATGAGACTCACCACGGGGAACTTGGAAAACACAACCCTTTCCGGCACTGAACTGGACACCTGAGATATCCACTTGAACACGCCCGTGACAGACATAAAAGACCATATGCATTTTCTTCGAGTTCTTGGGTTTCTTGACTCCGTCAGGTGGGAGCTCCACAACGCCAGACCCGATGAAAGACGAGCTAAGCAGCTTCGCAAATCGGAAGGTTGAGTCTTTGACTTCTCTGGTTTCGATTCCAGAGGGAGCATACGCAATGTCTGTATCAAGATCGACTTAGTAAAGGAACCAAATATGAAGGGGCTGGGGTTCATACCTAGTACTTCCTCCTCCTTTGAACTCGTCTGTGTTTTCCCGTCCCATTTGAGTGTGTAGCCATGAAGAACACCACCTTCCTTCTCCCAGAGATCAACATCCTCATCTTCGTCCGAAGAGTCATCCTTTCGTTTCTTAGACTTAGACTTGTGGGACGTTGAGCGTTTCCCCTTCTTCTTCTTTTCAGGCTCTTGCTCCTCGGTGCGAATGACCTCTTTGATGGTTGAAAGAGGGTATCGATGTCCCTCGGCTGCCTCCCCGTCACCGAAGACGCACCGTTCGTTGCGCCAGTATGCTAGTGGTCGGACCGAAACCCGCCCAGATCGAGTGTGAGTTGCACTATTGTCGGTGGGAATTTCACGTTTGAGGATATACAAACTTCGGCCCTTCAAAGGACCTGTGCGGTTGGCGTAATTCTCAACCACCCGATCCAATTCCGGTTCCAAAGGTTCACGCACCGGTGGAGATGCTTTGGTGGTATTTCGCTTTTTGGTTGGCCTGGGGTCGGCATCTTCTTCGACGTTACGACGTTGAGACTTTGGACGTCCGCGCGGCGCAGGGGGTTTTGCCTGATTCTTGCCTGCCTTGGCGCTATTTGGCGCGACCTTCTTTGTTGACTTGGAGGCCAGAACGGGTTCTTCCCGAGGCGGAGTCGTGTCAGTCGTGGATGAATTGCCGCCATGTTCGTGTTGGTCTTGCCCGGGAGAATCGGGTACCTTCTCTGCAGCAACAGAATCAGAATCCACATCCAGACTGCCACCGAAATCTTGTTGTACTGTGGCGAATGCACTCGCGTTCTCGTCGCCATCGCCGTCGGCGTCGGAAAAGTCTGAAAAGTCATGTATGACTGCGGGCTCGGATTCTGACGCTAGCTGTGCTTTTGTCGTGGGTTTTCGCCGTGTGCCATTCCTCTGATTTGAGCGTCCTACGTTCACCGAGCGAGTGGAAAGAGGAGATAGATCTTGGCGCAATTCTCCCTGTGCGCCCGCGAAACCTTTGCCGTCAGACGGACTAGACGACTCGAGAATATCCTGCGGGTCTGGAGTTGATTGCAACGCTGGTGTCCTCCGCGGAGACCCAGTGAGGCCAGTCTTCATCGGCGACCGCGCAGCAGGCGGGGGGAGAAAAGAGGTACGTGAGCCATTTGTGCCCTTGAGAAAGTCCATGGGATCTGGCGCATTGCCTATAGAATGTGCATCAGCACGCAATGAGTCGGCAATATAAGGCGACACTGAATCAGCCCACCTTCGTCCATCGACATGCCCTCGGACCCAGCCGAAGAGTTATTTTCCTCCTCTTCAAACCCATTGAGCTGCACAGGCGACTTTTCAGGAGACGAGAAGAGACCGTCAACTTCTTCCATTCCATGTTCATCGCGTCGACCTTCCTTCAGCGATATGCCAGTGCGCCTAGACGTATTGGATCAGTATAGCGGTCCTAGTACAAGTGGAATTGACTATAACATATCGACTCACCTTCCCTTAGTTCCCACATTGGAGTAGTCGAAGTCGCGGGCCTTTCCGGGCCCTCGTGCCATATTGGAAGTTGAGCACCAGGATAGAATTGAAATCAAAAGATAGAGAGAGATTCAAGAAAATCAGTCAAAAGAGAGACAAGGTGGAGGGCAGGAATGCGGAATTTAGGCGGGAAGAGCAACACGCGCCCCCGCTAATCCCGAACAGTCGACGCGTTGTGCAGTTGTGCACTCGGGAGATCTTTTGCATTTCTTTGTACCTTCAAGACTTTCCTTTGTTCTTTCTTTCAATCTCCTATATGCCTATTATGCCTAATGATACTCCCCCCGTCAATCCTCCAAAAGAATCGTCCACCTTTATTCCTCCGAGTGTGATTTC